CACAGAATCACACACAGGCACAGATTCGCAGGCATTTGTAAACAAACTCATAACAGATGGACGCAGACTCAGAGACAGATGGCGACACTCACAGATGGACACAGCCTCACATACGGGATAGATATATATATATACCACACACACATTTTATATATATAAAATATATATATATATATATATATATATATATATATATATATATATATATAATTTATATATATATATATATATTATATATATAAAATATATTATATATATATATTTATCAGGTCACTAAAATCAACCTAGGTAAGTGCAGCTACTTAGTACTCACCTATTTGTACTCATCTATTTGTGGTTACAGGGGTCAAGTCTTAGCTCCTGGCCCCGCCTCTTCACCGGTTGCTACTGGGTCCTCTCTCTCCCTGCTCCATGAGCTTTATCAAACCTCGTCTTAAAACTATGTATGGTTCCTGCCTCCACTACGTCACTTTCTAGGCTATTCCACTGCCTGACAACTCTATGACTGAAGAAATACTTCCTAATATCTCTCTGGCTCATCTAAGTCTTCAACTTCCAATTGTGACCTCCTGTTTCTATGTCCCCTCCCTGGAACATCCTGTCTTTGTCCACCTTGTCTATTCCGCGCAGTATTTTATATGTCGTTATCATGTCTCCCCTGGCCCTCCTGTCCTCCAGTGTCGTCAGGCCGATTTCCCTTAACCTACCTTCATAGGACATTCCCCTTAGCTCTGAAACTAACCTTGTCGCAAACCTTTGCACTTTCTCTAGTTTCTTGACGTGCTTTATCAAGCGCGGGTTCCAAACAGGTGCTGCATACTCCAGTATGGGCCTGACGTACACGGTGTACAGTGTCTTGAACGATTCCTTACTAAGGTATCGGAACGCTACTCTCAGGTTTGCCAGGTGCCCATATGCTGCAGCAGTTACCTGGTTGATGTGTGCTTCCGGAGACATGCTCGGTGTTATACTCACCCTAAGATCTTTCTCCTTGAGCGAGGTTTGCAGTCTTTAGCCACCTAGCCTATACTCTGTCTGCGGTCTTCTGTGCCCTTCCCCTATCTTCATGACTGCATTTGGCAGGATTAAATTCGAGAAGCCAGTTGCTGGACCAGGTGTCCAGTCTGTCCAGGTCTCTTTGAAGTCCTGCCCGGTCCTCATCTGATTTAATTCTCCTCATTAACTTCACATCGTCTGCGAACAGGGACACTTCTGAATCTAACCCTTCCATCATGTCGTTCACATATACCAAAAATAGCACTGGTCCTAGGACCGACCCCTGTGGGACTCCGCTCGTCACAGGTGCCCACTGTGATACATCATTACGTACCATGACTCGCTGTTGCCTCCCTGTCAGGTATTCTCTGATCCATTGCAGTGCCCTTCCTGTTATATGCACCTGATCCTCTAGCTTCTGCACTAATCTCTTGTGAGGAACTGTGTCAAAGGCCTTCTTGCAGTCCAAGAAGATGAAATCAACCCACCCCTCTCTCTCGTGTCTTACTTCTGTTACTTTATCATAAAACTCCAGAGATTTGTGACACAGGATTTGCCTTCCATGAATCCGTGCTGGTTGGCGTTTATACTCTTGTTCCATTCCAGGTGTTCCACCACTCTCCTCCTGATAATCTTCTACATAACTTTGCATACTATACAAGTCAGTGACACAGGTCTATAGTTAAGTACCTCTTTTCTGCCTCCTTTTTTAAAAATGGGAACTACATTTGCCATCTTCCATACCTCAGGTAGTTGCCCAGTTTCCAGGGATGTGTTGAAGATTGTGGTAAGTGGCACGCACAGCATGTCCACTCCCTCTCTAAGGACCCACGGGGAGATGTCCGGCCCCATTGCCTTTGAGGTATCGATGTCCCTTAGCAGTTTCTTCACCTCCTCCTCATTTGTATGTATGTCGTCCAACACTTGTTGGTATATTCCTTGCTGGTGTCCCCATCTGGTCTGTCCCCCCAGAGGCCTTCCTGTCTCCACTGTAAATACTTCCTTGAATCTCTTTTGAGCTCCTCACACACCTCTTGATCGTTTCTTGTGAGTTCTCCACCTTCTTTCCTCAGCCTTATCGCCTGGTCTTTGACTGTTGTCTTCCTCCTAGTGTGGATATACAGCAGTTTCGGGTCAGATTTGACTTTCAATGCTATGTCGTTTTCGTACTGTCGCCGGGCCTCCCTCCTTACCTGTGCATACTCGTTTCTGGCTCTTCTACTAATCTCCTTATTTTCCTGGGTCCTTTGCCTCCTGTACCTTTTCCATTCTCTGGTGCACTTAGTTTTTGCCTCCCTACACCTTCAGGTAAACCAAGGACTCGCTTTGGTCTTCCTATTATTTCTGTTTTCCTTGGGAACAAACCTTTCCTCTGCCTCCTTGCACTTTGTTGCTACATATTCCATCATCTCGTTTACTGATTTTCCTATCAGTTCTCTGTCCCACTGAACCTCCTGCAGGAAGTTCCTCATACCTGTGTAGTCCCCCCTTTTATAGTTTGGCTTTTCCCATTCAATTCCTGTTACCTTCTCCACTTGTAACTATTATATAATCAAAACTCAGAACCACGTGATCGCTAGCTCCAAGGGGCCTCTCGTAAGTGATGTCCTCAATGTCTGAACTGCTCAGGGTGAACACAAGATCCAGTCTTGCTGGCTCATCCTCCCCTCTCTCTCTGGTAGTGTCCCTGACATGTTGATACATGAGGTTTTCAAGCACCACATCCATCATCTTGGCTGTCCACATTTCAGGACCCCTATGTGGCTCCAGATTTTCCCAGTCAATCTCCCTGTGGTTGAAATCGCCCATTACCAGTAACTTTGCTCTGCTTGAGTTAGCTTTTCTTGCCACCTCAGCCAGTGTGTCCACCATCGCCCTGTTGTTTTCTTTGTACTCCTCTCCTGGCCTCCTGCAGTTCTGTGGTGGGTTATACATCACTCCAATGACTACTTTATGTTCTCCAGACTGAATTGTACCTACTATGTAGTCTCTTTCTCCAATCACGTCCATGCCTTCCATTTCCTCAAATCCCCATCAGTTTTTTATGAACAGTGCAACCCCTTCCCCTCTACTCCTTCTATCTTTCCTCAGGATCTGATATCCCGGTGGGAAGATTGCATCTGTTATTGTCTCAGCGAGTTTTGTTTCTGTGACTGCCATGATGTCTGGGGATCTCTCACTGATTCTTTCGTTCCACTCCTCATGTTTATTCGTTATTCCGTCAGTGTTTGTGTATCAAACTTTCAGCTTCTTTTCTATCACTGTGGCCCTGCAAGAATTTTGGGGTTGGGGGAGCGAGAGCCTTGGTGGGGGCGTATGGGGGGCTGTGGTGTAGGTGGGGTTTGTGATGATGGGGGTGGGGTCAGAATACCGATAAGGGACAGCTGTTGGGGCGAGGTTTGTGATGTGGGGGTTGGTGGCAGAGGGAACAGTTTAGGTTGCTCAGTTGTGTTGGGATTGTCACGGTTGGAGTCTTTCACTGGGAGAGATTCTGCGGGGTGTGTTTGCTCTTCCTCCTGTGTCTGGGTCCTTCTTATCATCATCATTGCCTCTCGTTCCTCTTTGCGTCTCTGTGCCCTCTTTTTCAGTGTAGTCCTTTCTTCTTGTGTTCTGTCGCGATCTTGGTATACTCTCTGGTACCCCTGTTTGTCCCTCAGTCATGCTTTCTCTTGCAGAATCCTGGTTCAAACTGATTCTTCCTTGAAAATTACTTTGACAGGCCATATCCTTCCACTTGCAAACCACCCAGTTCTCCGAAAATTTTGTCACCTGGGTCATATCGCCCTCACCTATTGTTTTCATGATGCCTTCAATCATTTTTTCCTCCTCCTGTTTTATTTCTTCGAAGTTGTCCCCCTTGGCTTCTTGGAGCCCGTAGACAAAAACTGACCTCACCCTTTCCTCCTCCCACTGAGTCTCCATTTGCATCCTCTGAGATGTTTTATTTCCTTCCATTGAAATGTTCTTGCCTTCAGTCCTTGTCGTATCTGAAACTTCTATTCTCAGTGAACTGTTTTTCATGATCAGCTGTTCCTTGCTACTGCAGTTGGCTGTTAGAGTCACTGTATATAACATACCTTCATTGTCTTCGGACCTGTCATTTGATCTTAGTATGCTCTTCGTCTTTTCCCTGGCCCCACGTGGGTCTGATAGGGCCTTCACATACAGCATATCTCCTTGGTTTCTTACTGTCCCCTTGTCTGTGCCTGACATAAAATTTCCTGATGTCGCATCTTAATTGTCATTGGTCTCTCTAGTCTGTTTTAGGTTTTTCAGTTTCTCTTCTAAGCACTGTATCCTAGCTTCTGCTGCTAAGACCTGAGGCTTCCACTTCCAGCACTCTTCAGCTATCCTCTCCTCCATTATCTTGCCAAGCTCTTCTATCTTCCTTCCCCACTCTTCCTCCCTTTTTTGGAGCTCTAACTCCCAATCTTTCCTCGCAGGTTCGTCCACCAGATCTCTGGTTTTTCGCCCTCTAGGGCCACCCATTTTTTTTATTATCACAGAAAGAAGCTTATGTATTTTACCACAGAGAGAAGTTTGTGTTTTCAGGGTGTGTGTGTGTGGGGGGGGGGAGGGAGGGACAAGGCTAGAGGAGAGAGAGAGAAAATAAGAGGGGGAAGGCTAGAAGAGGGAGAGAGAGAGTAAGAGGGGGAGAGAGAAAGGGTAGAAAAAGGGAGAGAGAGGAGGGAGTATGAGGGTGAGGGATAAGACTAGGGGGAGAGAGAGAGAAACGAAAGGGGGGAGAGAAAGGGTAGATAGAGGGAGAAAGAAAGTGCTTATGTTTCGCGGTTACCAGACGGAGGATCAAGTCTGGATTGACACCACACATGTTCAGCGATTCAGACACAGACAGACAGACAGACAGACAGACAGACAGACAGACAGACACACACACACACACACACACACACACACACACACACACAACAGGCTAAGTGTCTAATCAAAAAGGGTCTGTGACAAACTGGTAACTCTCTCTCTCTCTCCCTATTAGAACTAACCTAAATATTTCCCAAAGAACGACACCGTAGGCCCACACGTCACTCTGTGTAGAGAAGATGTTGTCCCGAAGAGCTTCCACGGACATCCACTTGACTGGTAGCGGCGCCTGTGTGTGTGTGTGCGTGTGTGTGGTGTGTGTGTGTGTTGTGTGTGTGTGTGTGTGTGTGTGTGTGTGGGGTGGTGTGTGTGTGTGTGTGTGCGTGTGTGTGTGTGGTGTGTGTGTGTTTGTGTATATTGTGTGTGTGGTGTGGTGTGTGTGTGTGTGGGGGTGTGTGTGTGTGTAGTTTGTGTATATATATGTGTGTGTGTGTGCGTGTGTGTGGTGTGTGGTGTGTGTGTGGTGTGTGTGTGTGTGTGTGTGTGTGTGTGTGTGTGTGTAGTTTGTGTATATATATGGGGGTGTGGTGCGTGTGTGTGGGGTGTGTGTGTGGGGTGGAGGTGGGGTGTGTGTGTGTTGTGTGTGTGTGTGTGTGTGGTGTTGTGTATTTGTGTATATATATGTGTGTGTGTGTGTGTGCGTGTGTGTGTGTGCGCGCGCGTATGTGTGTGTGTGTGTGTGTGTGTGTGTGTGTGTGTGTTGTGTGTGTGTGTGTGTAGTTTGTGTAATATATGTGTGTGTGTGTGTGCGTGTGTGTGGTGTGTGTGTGTGTGTGTGTGTGTGTGTGTGTGGTGTGTGTGTGTGTGTGTGTAGTTTGTGTAATATATATATATATGTGTGTGTGTGTGTGTGTGTGTGTGTGGTGTGTGTGTGGTGTGTGTGTGTGTGTGTGTGTGTATGTGTGTGTGTGTGTGTGTGTAAATAAAACGATGACATATTAGTAATATCCCAAACTTAAAACTTGACAGTAGTGACACTAACATAAACTGAATGACGCATAACAACAATAACTTGAGTCACCAACTGTGATCACCTCCTCACCAACCTCAAATTAAGTTAGACAAAGTTTGTGCGATTCTCAGACAGACCTTGTTATATATATATATATATATATATATATATATATATATATATATATATATATATATATATATATAAAAATATATATATATATATATATATAAATATATATATATATATTCAAATGACATAACCCTCTGCTGGAGGTAGAGAGGGGGGGAAAGGAAGCTGGAGAAGGGAGAAGAGGAGGGAGAGGGAGAGGGGGAGGAGAAGGGTGAAGGGAAGGGAGAAGGGGAGGAGAAGGGAGAGGAAGAACGGGAGGGACGAGTAGGGAGAAGGGGAGGAAGAAGGAAGAAGGGAAGAGAAAAGGGAGATGGAGAAGGGGAAGAGTTCTGAGTCTGAGACTCCTGACTCACATTCTTGGTCTTCTTGTAGCTGGGGTACTTGTAGATGTCCTTGGCCAGTCCGAAGTCGCTGATCTTGACAACGTTGTTGTCAGTCAACAGGATGTTCCTGGCCGCCAGGTCCCCATGCAACACCTGCAACAACACCAGGGAAGACATATCAGTGGTTGCAACACCTGCAACAACACCAGGGAAGATATATCAGTGGTTGCAACACCTGCAACAACACCAGGGAAGACATATCAATGGGTGCAACACCTGCAACAACACCAGGGAAGATATATCAGTGGGCACAACAAATACAACAACACCAGAGAAGACATATCAATGGGTGCAACACCTGCAACAACACCAGGGAGGACATATCAGTGGGTGCAACACTTGCAACAACACCAGGGAAGAAATATCAGTGGGTGTAACACCTACAACAACAGGGAGGACATATCAGTGGGTGCAACACAAGTTCCTGCATCGTAAGGAGGTGTTTGATAATATATCACACCACAGTATATACACCACAGTATATCACACCACAGTATATTACACCACAGTATATTACACCACAGTATATTACACCACAGTATATTACACCACAGTATAATATATCACACCACAGTATATTACACCACAGTATATTACACCACAGTATATCACACCACAGTATATTACACCACAGTATATTACACCACAGTATATCACACCACAGTATATTACACCACAGTATATTACACCACAGTATATCACACCACAGTATATCACACCACAGTATATTACACCACAGTATATTACACCACAGTATATTACACCACAGTATATTACAAACCCCAGTATATCACACCACAGTATATCACACCACAGTATATTTCACCACATAATTACCCCCACGTATATACAAACCCCCAGTATATTTACACCACAAATATTAAACCCCCCCAGTATAACCCAAAAGTATATCAACCCCCCCCAAAAAACACACCACAAACAACCACAGAAAACCCCCCAATAATTTCCCAAAACCCCCAAACACACCACAGATAACACCACGTAAAAAACCCCCATTAAAACAACAGTAATTACAACCCCCATAAAATTTTAAAACCCAGTATATAACACCCCCGTATTTCACACCACAGTAAATTTTAAAAAACACCACCGTTTTTAAAACCAAAAATTTACACCCCCGATTCACACCACGTATAAACACACCACAGTATTAAAAAAAAAAAAATTTTTCACCAAGTTTAAAATTTCACCACAAATTTTTCCCACATAATCCCACAAAATATTACCAACAAAGTTAAAAAAAAACCCCCCACAGAAAATTTTTCCCGTTTTTTTAAAAACCCCGTTTTTACACCCAGTTATTTCACCACGTAAAAATTTTACCCCCAGATACACACCACCGAAAAAATCACACCACAGTAAAAAATATACAAAACCCCCATTATTAAAAACCCCCAGTTAAATATACACCACAGTATAAAAAATCACACCAAAAAGAAAAAACACAAAAATAAATATCAACCCCAAAAATATCACAACAGGGGTCCCGAATGCCATAAAAACCCCCGTGGAGGAGCTGCCCAATCCCTGCTAGCACTAAGGAAAATATGGTTGCCACACAGAAAATATGGGTACACCGAATATTGGGAGATTTTTTTCCCTTTTTTTTCCCAATCACACAATAAAACGTAAGGACACCCAAAAGGGAACCCCCCCTGGAAATTGGAGATGAGTAGATCACAGGACCTCCTCAAATGATGAGAAACAAAAAAAACAAAATAATGTAAACCTGGGACCTGTTTAAAGGGGATAGGGGTTTTTAAAAAAGACTAACCCCAAAAGGGCCTCCCCCGGAAGGGAATTGGATTTTTCCCGCCCCCTCTATTAAACAAATTTTTCCAAAAAAAATTGGCATCTTGAACAGATCCTGACAGTTTTTTAAATAATTAATCAGGATGATGCCCCTTACATGGTGATGATGTCCAAAGTGCAGCAATTCCGTTCACTTCCAATTTGGGAAAAAAGAAACCCAAAACTTTGCCTTTTAAAAATTGCCTTATCAATGGCTGCCAAAATGCCCAAAAAAAAACTTAAAAATGGGTCCTGAAGATAAAGACGTACAAACATGTATTTTCTTAAGTATCTGCACACTGTGTCAAGATAATAGTTTTACCATTTATGAGCAAGAGTTTTAATAACTCACTACAATGGGGAAAATTCAAATTTTTCATGGCATTGCTTCCATCGGAAGCGGTTGCTGACTTACATCAATTTGTGCAACCAAGAATATGATGTCATCTGTTTGCAGGAAAAGTTTGAGAAAGATGGAGCACCCCACCAAACTTCCTGGTTTTGCACTTTTAACCCAAAGGGCAACCCCCGTTGTGTGATGTATGTCAGAAAGAATTGCCCACATTCACTTTTCCTTGCAGGTTTGAGTTAACAGCAGTTCAGGAAATAAAACAAAAAAGCAGTATAATGTGAAAACCCTTTTTTGACTACGTTTTGCCCACAAAAAAGGGGGTTTTTTTTTTAAATCACAAACGAACAAACAGTTTGTTTGTGACTTGAAAAAACCCACTGTGTGGGCGAAACGTAGTCAATAAAGGATCACATTATACTGCATTTGTGTTTATATTTCCATTGTGTCGGTATTTTATACCATTTATTTCCATGCAGTATCATGGTGTCAAAGTATATGCAGGCGATTTTTCCATAAACATTTTTAATCTCTATGCCCCAGCGAACCAGCTTCGACCTGATACTTTACCAGATCGCATCAATAGTGAACCTACCATCATTCTTGGAGATTTTAATGCCAGACATAAGAATATTGGTGGGTCTATAACAAACACCAATGGAACTAAACTAGTGAGATTGCTAAATGAGCATGATAATGTTCGAATTGTGGGCACTACTGAGCCTACTCACATATATGGTGGCATACTAGATCTGTGTCTTGGATTTAATACATCATATACGATGCATGACTCTGTCATAGTTGATGATCTTCTATCTGATCACTTCCCAAGACTAACAACTGTCAATCTTGATCACATCTCCAGCAATCAAGGAGCTAAATACAGAAGGAGGAAACTTATTCTCAAACCAGAACACAGAGACAACTTTATTAACCACTTGGATCAATGGTATAAGAATTACGAGCCCATTGGCACACAAAAATTTAATGATGATTTAATTACCACTATTGAGAGTGTTCTCACAGATCAAGTGGGCAGGAATAGGAACAAAGACCCTCCACTATAAATAACAATAAAAACCAATGTAAATACTATAATGATCCAACAGCTGCGCAATTAACACATGCAGATTGGAGGATTGGTAAAGCATACCGTGAATGTAGAACCCCAGACCTGCTCAGAACGTTCCAAGCTGCACTAACAAATGCAAGGAATAGAAAGGGAAGAACTTAGGCAACAGGAATGGGAACAGTTTGTTAGTGGATTAAATAGGTCCACCCCTTTGAGTTTGGCTTGGAAAGGTTATAAATAAAATAACCAGGAAAAAGACTGGCAATGTTGCTCATCCCTTTCCTCTTGAAAAGCAAATGACCTCATAAATGACTGGTCCAAAACATCCAGGCAATGAAAGCCTTCCATCTCATATTAGAAAAATTTAGAGAGTACTTCTGAAGAAATGTTTGAAACTGATTAATTTATGAGCCAAAATATTGATGTGAGTGATTGCCTCTTTACCGAGTATGAATTAGATAATGCATTAACCGAAAGGTCGATCAAACTGCCTTGGAGAGGATGGTATAACCTATGATATTCTCAAGAACTCTAAGGCACGTGCCTGATAAACCCTTTGTTGGCACTGTATAATCTCAGTTACTAGAGGGCGTTCTTCCTACTTCCTGACCAATAGTCTCATTGTGCCTATCCCTAAGCCCCAACAGCCTGATACATTTAGGCCGATCTCCTTAACTAGTTGTCTTTGTAAAACTTTTGAAAGAATGATGCTTAACAGACTGTACTACAGAATCAGAGATCAACTTTCCCCCTACCTCTATGGGTTCATGAAAGGTAAAAGTGTGCAGAACTGTATTTCCACCTTTCTCACTGCACACACCTCTACTAATTTTACCACTTTTCTTGATCTAAAATCTGCATTTGATATTTGGGGGGAAAAAGACCGTTTTTATAACCCTTAACATTTAACTTAGCCAAAAATTTTAATTTTTTGGGTGTACTTACTCTGGGGGATAATTTTGGGGTTTCCTGTCAAAAAAGATATCCCCGTTTTCCTTTTCCCAAAGGTTCAGAAATGATTTTTAAAAAAATGTTTAGGTTTCAGCGGGGAGGGGTTTTTTAAATCCCCATGCTATTTAATATTTTTGATTTTAAAGCCTTTCCAAATGCTCCCACCTGCCTCCCCTTTTAAAAATTTTAAACTATGAAGCTTTTGCTTTTTATTTATATCATGATCCATGCAAAAAGGGCATTAAAAAGATGGAAAACCATTCTTTAAAGAAATTCAAAAACCAATTTTAATCGACAAGGCCTCTTAAAAAATCTTCCTCAAAAAATAAAATTTAAACCCAAAACCAAAAAGACATCCCCCACCCCAACATTTGCAGGGTGAAATCATTAGCTTTCGTTTAAAAATTTTCGATAACTTGGGGTAGGGTGTACCCTTTAAAAAAATCCCCCCTATACCAAACTAAACCCAAAAAATTTGGGGAAAAACTTGGCTAAATGCTCTCAAAGCTTTTTTGCCGCTACCCTCCCAAAATATGGTGCAAAAAGTTTAAATCGTGGGAATGTGTACCCTACCTATGTTTGGTTTCCCTTTAATTGATTTGCTGTCCCATGTTGGGTATTAGCTTTGAGAAAGGGTTTTCTCCTACCCTTTTTTAGTTAAAGAAAATGAAGCTCTTTTTGGGTTATTCTTGGCTTTTCCCCGATCTACCAAAAAGTTTTTTAACTTAGGGGAAGGGGCTTGGTATTTTTAGTTTTCAGTGATAGGATTGTTGAAATTTAAAACTTTTATCGGTATTAGAAGTTTGGGGAAAAAGAACCCAAAATGTTCCCCAGTGAACTTACCAAGTGTCCCCAGAGGTAAATACACACAGATCTAAATTTGGGTTTGAAAAAGTGCCCAAATT